CTGTCCGCGCAATATTGGGGCCATTGTGGTGGCAAGCATTTTGAAACGGCCTAGCCGCATACAGACTTCCGCGTACCGGCGCTCGCGCAAATTTTTATACGTCCCGTCGCGTCTGGCGGTACCAGCCGCTTGAACGTGGTTCACCGGCCGCCGAACGCGGACTCCACACGCCTTAGACGCTGCTTCTCGCGAATCGCGGTAATTCGCCACGTTGACATCTGGCCCTCCATAGAGACCTTTTCTTGAAAACGGGCCAAGCTTGGCGCCAGAAGAGACCTCCAGATGCGTGACTTTCATTTTCCCTGAAGCTCGTGCCTCCTCCTATTCTTAGTCCTAGAGGATGCCTCCGTATATTGCGATAGCGCCAAGAAATGTAATTGAAGGGACATTCCGCCCGCTCTTTGACTCGATGATCTTGCAACCATGCCCCGCCTGCACATCGCACCCCCTCTCGCACGCTAATTCGCCGGTGTCTCCGTCGTGTTGCTTCGGCTCCTCGTCTCCTCGCGCCCCAATTGTTTTCTTTTCCCCCGAAACCTCGCCCGCGCCGATCACCCCAAACTAAAAGGAGATTCTTATCTGCATTTGGACCCAAAACGGCAATTCACGAATACAACCACGACACCCTTTTTTTTTTTAACCTATTTAGCGGTTCTTGCCTTACAGTATACCTCTTCAGCGCACTAACCAACATGTTTTCAACACATAAGATGTATGTAAGATTGCTGTCTCTTACAAGGGAGGTCTTTCAGGGCAAGGTGCGCTTTTTCAAAACGGTTTTGTGCATATTGTAGGGACGCATGTAGGGAACGCAAAACCATGTTTCATTTTCGCTGAACGGTTATAGCAGTACCAAAAAAGAAGCATAAGGTACTGTTAAGGGTTCGATCCCCGTGGCGACTAAATTTTGCATTTGGGTTGGCGCCTACGGTTTGGTGCCAAAATCGCGCTAAATATCAAAAATCATCGTCAGGACCATTTTGAAGCCAACAAGTGGCCGCCAACCTTGATTGCAAAATTTAGTCGCCGCGGGGGATTGAACCATCAAGAGTATTATTCACCACTTTTTTGGTACTACTAAAACCGTTCAGCGAAAACGAAACATGGTTTTGTGGTTCCTACAACATGTACTAAACCGTTTCCAAAGAGCGCACCTTGCCCTGAAAGACCCTGCCTGCTAAGAGCACAACGTTTACCTGCATCACTACTAAAGGAAAATCCGAGAGCAGTAATTCCAGGTTGCATGCAATTAATGAAGAAAGACCGCTTTCCTGAAATAAAGCAATAAGTCTTAGGGCTCTATTTTGATGTTTAGAATTTTTTTTGGAATAGAAAAGAATAAAAAAAGAAGGATAAGTCTAAATTGACTAGCCCGAATAACCCGCTTCAAGATGTCGCACCAAAAGTTTGCCCAAGTTTGAAGGAACAGGCTTGCCGTTTGCTGAAAGCGCGTGAAGACGTGTCGGTGAAGCACTGAAAAAACCCAAATGCAATAAAAGTGCAAAGCAACGGATGAGATGGGCTTCACCTTTTGCAATGACTAAATAATTGAAAGCGCGTGCCAAATTTTTCTGATCTTTCATGAATCAGAAGATGAAACTAATAACTGATAACTTGGAGTACCGTTAACGTCTCAGAGATGGCACTCCAGCCTCCAAGAAGAATATACCGACCAGGGGAAACCGCCGCTTTCAACGCGCGTCCAGGTGAGTAACGTTCTCGAGTAACTTGAAGGTCTGACGTTCTGAAGTTACTTATTGCAATAGTCAGGTTTTCAATGACCACCAAGCATGAATTGCACTGGCATAAAAAACGTGAATGGTAGGGAGAAATAAGGACAAGAATCTTGGATCCATCAATTGTTCTAGGGCATTACCTGAATTATCTGCTTTTCTCCAGCCTCACTTGGGCACTATCCGCAGAACTATTGGAGAGCATCCTCAAGGCTGTCAGGAGGAGGCACAAACTTCGGAAATAAAGTACAAATTGCGCACACACCGGAGGTTCTCCCTGTCGCCTGAAGCTTTCTCCATATTAAGGGAAGAAGGGATCTTTCAAGCGGTTCGAAATGCACTGCTTCCACAGTGCCAGGGGCCCCCGTCTTGCGATAGTGCCCATGTTCCGCGTATTGCAACTGCTGCAAACGAATCACTTTATTTGTCCGTCCCTCAATCGGAAGAGTCGACCAGAAGGAGGGAGGGGATGATACACTGTAGAAAGCAGAGCTTTATATGTACGAGTTGGTAGCAGATGTACCTACAGTATCCACTACCACAAAGGCCGTTTTTGAATGCGTAGTTTTCTAAACTACTTAATCATTACGAAGAGCAACACTTGCCTGATTCAGGGCGTAGAAAGGCGAAATCAGGCATTTCTCTCGGCCAAACGAATAGTACGAATACGGCTAGCATCCCCGAGCATGTGTATCAGTAACGTAGCCTCTGAACGGAGTAAATTTGCATTGTAATTAGGGGCGTAATAAATCATATTAAAAAGTTGTTATCAGTGGGGAATAGATTAATTTTTACGGGTGTCCCCCAGAGGCACAATCGCGCGCGCAAAGAGAGGCGCAGACGCGCAAACAGATGATATCGCAGCGCGTACGTGGCGGCTTAGGCCAGGTAGGGCGTAGACGTACCATAACGTCCATATCGCACAGTGCGCGGGACATCGTCGCATTGCTGCGTCTTGCGTTTCTTCTCGCCCGCGCGATGGGCCTCTTGGGACACGCAATTTCACCTTCAATGCAAATTCCTCAGTCTCGGTACGCTTTCTATGCCAAGCCCAGACGTAACCACCTTTTGACCGCTGCACTGCTGCTTCGCGTCCGACGGACAACCGTGTCTTTAACCCTTTCCGGACCGCCTGACACACATGGTGTGTCAGGAACTTCAAGAGCTGATTTTTCCAAGAGTTTGGTTTTTCGATAAAATATTTTATGTTGTTACATACCTATGTAACAGACTCATGCCATATGTATGAAAAAACCTAGACTTTAGGTTTAATCTAGGTTCTAAAATAACCAAAGAGTAAATGGACTTCCACTTTGGGCTCAAAGAAAACAGTTGTATAGTTCGCTTGAAAACACTTCATACGAAGAATTTGTGCTCGTCGTATCTGATTCTTATGGATCCAATCGTTTTGGGCACGTTCTACTCCCTTTTTCTCCATACCAACTTATTTTGAACAATTTTCGTCCCTTCCTCCCTTTTTATGGCCCTTTCCTTTTTTTTTGCAAAACAGTTTTCTGTCAAATTAATCTTATCTTATATATTCTTCGAGACATGACAAAGACATAAACGAGACAAAATAATGGCTTTAGTGGGAATACAGATTAAATATATGATATTTATGCTTGCCGCGCAGCATGCGGCCGTGAGCGCAAAAAGTGCGCGGTCCGGAAAGGGTTAAAAGTGCCCTTTCATTATACTGTAATATTCTCCCTTCTGCAGGCTCCTACGGCCTATTTTGTTATTACAGCAGCCAATGAAGAACATGTTGAGAATTCTTTCTCCCCGCCAACACGATGATAGTATAATTTTTCAAACCTTTTGAAGAACGTTGCCCATCCGTCGATCACCTTCGGGTCACTTGTGATCCATGACGCCACGGTCAGCAAAAAGATAACCAGTGTTGATTTTTCAGCAAAGCTGTAATGAAGCCCCATTGTATTCACAATACCACTAACATCGTTCGGACGCGCCTTATCATAAATAACTTGTAATGGCCTGGGAAGCCGCGCCAAGTAAAACAAATATTCATTGAAGATTTTTGTACTGACACCACAATGAACAATTGAAGTTTCTATGACTGGCTCCAGTACCCAGCCCGGTTTGTGAAATTGAAACTCCAAAACTAACGTTATAGGACCAAGGTCGTTGTATGCTGTGTGTACTGCTTTGTGGATGAACTGTTCATCGACCGCTTCCTCTTCTGTGGATGGTTTAAATATGCGAAGCACATAGCCCAGCCCGAGAAATTGTAGCTGAAATAGGGCTAGGAATAGCTCCAACATTCTCAGAGATCTTAATATTTGGAATAATTATGTGATATTTGTTACCTGTACAATAATCCAAGACGAGAACATATAGCCGACCATTGGCGGGATCGCGAATCCCATCCATGAAAGATAACTGATTCCTGTATCTTCATTAGGATAGAATCTGAATCAGAGGAGGCTAGAAAATCTACTTGCACCCATATTATTTATATTAATACTGTATTTTTTTAATTTCAGCAACTTTCAGCTTTATTACACGTTATACCATCAGGCCTTATGCTTGCCTCCGTTCACCTATGTCCTACCATATTCTACATAGATACCTCATTACTATCCACTTGTTGTAAAGTACTCATTTCAATTCGTCAGAGTTTTATGCTGCCCAACCCATTCGCAACAGAAAATCGTCTGTTTGACCCAGTGCGGTTTCAGGGGTAGCATACTATAATTACCCCAAGGAGAGGTGGTGGGAGAAAATTCCTTCAAATTTTCTTTGTCATTCCAACCAGATTCGCCTTGAGAAAGGGCCATTCGTAATGCGTGCATGTATAAAGCACGCACTGAAAATATGCCATGTGAGAAAAATTAAATTTAAAGAGATTTTTTGCCTACCCACTTCCCCACCCTACTGCTCTGGTCGCGGGATCGATGAGAACGGGTGATGGGCAGGGTCAACCGTCCGTTCGCACTATTAGAACGAAGGGGTCGCATTTGTGTTTTCGGGAAGGTGTGGGGTTGCATTTTGGGGTTGAGCAAGATTATCATAGTGGGTACGGAGGTCGTTCAGAGGGCTTTCAGACGGGTTTTTGAAGGATTTGGTGAATGTTCTAGGAAAGTTGGGTGAAGTGTACAAAACTGGAAAATTTGCCACTTCATGGTACCAAGTTGCCCTCCCCTTTCCCTCTCCCGGTCGACAGCTATTTTGGAGGGAAAAGTGGGCGGGGTTGAGCTGTGTCAAGTGGTTTCAAGACGGTGAGGGTGCACGTCGGGTAGGAAGAGGAAGGGTTGTATTCTGGGAGCCTCCCAAGACTGGTAGTGGTGGGAGATCGCATGAGACCCCCTAAAGGGGGACGGGGTCGCAAAATTTTTGAAAAATTGCGAACGTGACGGTTGACCCTGGTGATGGGTCTTCCATCCACTTTATCCATGTAACGAGTTCGGACTGTTATCTGATTTTGAAAAACTTCTTATAAGACGGGAGCTAAATGGAGGATGTAATGTAAAGTAAGCACTTCTCGAGAGTGTCCCTGAAGATGAGATTCGGACCAGTTGAGTTGATGGTACCGGTGCCGCCGATCAACGATGCATGCGCAACGATCAACATCAATGCTTTGCAAATTCCTGTAATACATCTATCTCAGTGTATTACGATCGAATACTCGCATTCTTTGTAGGATATT